TCCAACTTCAACACTGAAAAAATTCATAAAAATATATCCTCAACCAAAGCTTTTTTGATATTCTTATACTACGAGAAGTTTCCTATCAGATGATATATAACTTGCTTGCGAAACTTTCACTTTTCGAACAAATTTTTCAATTGAAAAAACGGCCATTACTTATTAGCCAACCTAATACTTGGCAAGTGAAGCGATACGAGCACCAACACGGTCGGACATTTGTGGGCGGGCGGCTGCAGTAGTGGTCCGAGTCGTTATTTGTAGCTTGATACAGCCGGTGGGAGAACTCTCTTTGAAAAGGCATCACGCAGCGGCTGCTCAGGGCGCAATTCTGTCCTGCCCGAGCGTATTAATCTTACATGTCTTGTGGATTTGTCGTGCCACTGCCTTTAATCTTCACGTCCTCAGCGAAAACAGAAAAACAGAAAACTAATGACGGATCACCACAAAATCCAAAAAATTGAGAGCAGTTTACTGTTAAACAATCGACTGAAGACAGACGGAAGACAGAAACCCGTTGCTGAGAGGATGTAGCCCTAGAACTTGAGGAATATGAGATAAAAAGGTAAGCCTTAATCCAGTGTCTATTCATTTCGTCTGTCAAAACATAAAGGGCTCCGGCCCGCTATCAATCGCTGCCGCTTTCACAAATGGTTCCCAAGAGTCAGAACACGATATTTTACGAGAAGAGAGACTATCAGTAGCGCTACAACTGTAGCAAAATGCAACTGCTCTTTCGGAAACTCTCCGAAAGTGGGTTTGTAGAAGGTCTGAAAGGAAAGAACATCGTATTTTCACATCGGCCGACTGTGTTCAACATTAATATATACACAGCTGCACCGTTAAATCTAAATGACCGTGCAATGTGATGAATAGATGTCGATGAATAGATTTTATGGAAGATAAAGCTCTCATGAGAATGCGTGGTGTTCCATGTGTTAGTCATCAATAGCTGTTCTGGAATTTTTAATGCCATTGATCCTTATTGATACATTGCCATTGATACTCCCTATCAATCGCTACGATGAATGCATTGCAATTACTAGGGAGCTCACACCCCTTGCTGAGCTTTGTGCCCTTTTACGTACCCAATCCATACCCCCGTGGAAGGCATGGACGGGGGATCCCGGCTGAAGCCCCTGAAATCGATAATCATGTGATTGCGCGGCGATCGGCAGGGACCCGGGTTTACAAGAAGCTAACTTCAGTATTACCGCCACGCTACCGTAATCTAGTGATATGCCTTGTGTGCAGCTGAGTTGGCGGACGGTGGACTCTCTAGCAGCGTGACATCTAGGCTAATCTCAAGAAGCAGTACATTGACTTTCTCCTTGGACACCAGTACATAGAGATGCCGAGGAGGTTACCCTAGAGAAGAAAGCTGTAATAGCAGCCTCGTGATAAGTGGAAATGTTGGGGGAGATCTATAGTCTGCTACTCTTTGCATACCTAACGAATTCTGCAGTATTCTCACGAGCAGATTATGGTACTGTGTTTAGTAGAGTACTATTGGAAAATCCTGATACGATCAAGAGAACATTGTGAGTTTCATTAGTCATAAAACCCTAGTCCCCTACTAAATAGCTCCAAAAGCTGCCTTTGTGGAGATGTCACAGTAAAATAATACGAGTTCATGAGCAGTTATCACGAGTTTCCACGACTGTGATATTCTGTTAATCATCGTGCTTCATCGTTTCAGAGGTCCCTTCAAGGGGGAGGTGGGCTGTCGCTGGGAATCGCATATAGCCAGGAGGGTTCCCTTTTCAATGGTGGTAGTTCTCCTAGCTGGTCGCGCTGCCACCCGCTAACTGATCAAGGGTGCCCATTCCATAATCGCCCAGAAGCAAAACTGAAAAATTCCGGTAGAATAGTATATGGCTTGGGCGAAAGGGTCTTATGGTTAGCGAAATCTTCTTAATGGTGTGTCATAGCGGTATGTCATCCCACTCATCCATGCTCCCTACTGTAAGCAGCTTTCAATGCTTTTACAGTAACCTTTATCGAGCCACGTTTCATACCTATATAGTTATTGAAATACAGCCGAAATTTCCAAGGGAGGCAGATATCAGAACTAAGAGTCCAGTCTAGAAAAACAGTTCAAAGATCGACCAAACGCTCAACCTGCAGTATCTCCAGTAGACTCATACGCGAATAGCAATGGGGTCTGGAAATCCATAAGGGCTTCCAATGGTTCTTTCGATCACATTGGCTAGTAGTTCACAAAATTGTAGACTGTTCGATATCGATCGATTGAACTTACAGAATATTGATAAGTGAAAATATCATGTAAGGTAATAAATCATCTGAACATAACAGTATACAACAAGAAAATGAAAATAACAATATATTTTCGATAAACAATGTATAGATAAATCAAGCAGCGACCAACCAAATTGCAGCAAATTACTACGCAGTATTACTATTAGGTTGTCCGGAAAGTTCTCAGCGTTTTGGGTGTTTCACTTTGAACGATCGTAACTTTTTTAATACTCATCGGATTTAATCGAAATAGGTACCATTCGAAACAGCACACTTTTGCCAATGTGACAGCAGTTGAGAAATCCCATCAAAGTAAAAAACCGGGTGGTCGAAAATTCACGAAATCCACGAAGGCTTTTTTGCCTGGTCCTGTTTGATGAAGTATTTCCCAGCAAGGAAGTTCTGAAAATGTTTGAAAAGCTGATAGTCGATTGGCGAAAGGTCTGAAGAATATGGCGGTTGAGGTAGAACTTCAACCCCCAATTCGCTCAATTTATGGATAGTGATTTGTGAAACGTGTGGGCGGGCGTTGTCATGCAAAAGAATCGGGCCCCTTCTTTTGATAAGTGTTGGCTGCATCTGACAAAATTTTCGGCACAATTCGTCGATTTCTTTACAGTAGGGTTCTGCTGTGATGGTTTGGCCTGGTGATCAAAAGTTATAGTGGATCAAACCAGCCGATGACCACCAAGCCGGACCAGAATCTTTCTTTTTTTCGTGAGGGTTCGCCTTGAAAATTACCTCGGTGGTTCGTCGAAATCCAACCACTGTCGCGGACGTCTCCTGTTATCATACATGACTCATTTTTCATCACAGGTGACAATTCGGCCAAAACATGTCGTTTCTGCTGCGCAAAAGCAATGCAGAAGCAACCTCGAAACGTGCCGATTCCTGCCGGTCACTCCGATTGTGGGGCACCCAATTGTCGAGTTTTTTCACCTTACCAATGCGTTCCAGACCATTTGCAACAGTGTATTTGCCAAGGCCTAGCTCTTCTGCTATCTCTCGAACTGTTTGGATGGGGTCAGCCTCCAAAATCCCCCTAAACTCTCATCATAATATTGCTTTAGGTCGACCGCTATGAGGTTCACCTTCAAGCTGAAATCTCCAGAACGAAATTTGCTGAACCATTACCGCACAGTGCTTCCTCTAGCACTATTGGGCCCACACCTGGTTAATTTTGAGCTGTTTCGTGCGGATTGCCCGATTTATAGTCGAAGAAAGAAATCGTCCGAAGTGCTCTTTCCACATGCTTGAAAAAACCCTGAAAAAAAGGGGGTTTATAAGCAATGGTGAAACGGCAATCATACATCAGATAGCGCGAGAAAATTCTCTACTGTATATGCTACTGAGAAGTAAGGCAGAATGAATTTTTAATCAGCAGTGAGTACAATAAATAGGTGCACAAAACGCTGAGAACTTTCCGGACAACCTAATACTACATTAAACTATAACTGCTTTATTAAGCTGCCATCTTCAGAACCACAGGAAAATCGGCTTAGCAGCCAAATTTAATGGGTTGGTATCAGGCAATCTTACAGATTTGAGAGCTATTAGCTGATAGAGAAAGTCATTAGAAACTCATATGCTTTTCTGGACCCTGAGAATATCACGTCCTTTGTTCTCAGAATTGTTTTGGTAGTCACTACTGTAGCCAGGCGCGGAGGTGTTGTGTTGACAACTCGCGTGGAGCCGGGTTCAAATCACCGGGTCCACTCCTCCCTCCAAGCAACCAAGCTTTCTACCTTTTAGGGACGGTAATTTGCTACCAGATTCGCCGTGAGGATAAACACTGACTTGTACATCGGCTGGCCACCGCAAGTCATTGTATAGGCCACATCGCATTCAATAAGCCACTACGATTCTGAATGAAGGTAGAAGGCGTGCTGCATCCGATAAAAGGGATCGATCAACGGCAAAATACTTTATCCTTTTATTTACTGTAGCGATCTACTGTAGCAATTATTGGCAAAGATGCCTATGGGGACCTCGTTCAATGTGGCTTTTTGAGTATTAAGAGGCAGAGACTTTTCTTGCTGGTTGACCGTTTCACTTCGATTTTCGCCGTTTTCTGCACCCTAAAGCACCTCTGCTAGCATTCTAGACGCGAGTGCCAAATTATCGTGCCATATGCCTTTGAGGTGTAACACTAGCTTCGTTACTGAGATCCTGTATATAGCGTTTCGCAGTCAGGAAGAGAACCAACCAAACCAAGAACGCAGAAAGTAGCGCGTTTGGTTAAGGTTGAGCGGCTGGGCGGGCAATGCGATTGTGTAGTAAGGAGACTCACTCCGTGCACCACTACCCTACCAGCCCGTCGCCGTGCACATCTGAAAAGAACGTGGCACGCTACACCAGCTCTGACCCCGTTCATCTTGCACATGGCAAGGACCGGGGCCCACGGAACTGGGTGTTCAGTTTGTCTTCAAAGTTGTTTCTCTTCGATGATGTGGTGGCAGACCTGGCTTAGCGGCAGAATGCAACACAACTACAATGTAGCCATGGCCGATTTTTTTCGGGTGGTTCGCTTTTAAATACCAAAACAACTCAGAATTGAAGCAGAATGCACGACGCATGCCAAAGTGTGGCCGATCAGTGCACGCAGAGACTAAATGATTTGTCTTTGCTTTGATAGGTTACAAAATGCTTTATTCGATTTATCTGCATGAAGAATTATTTGGTGGAACGTCATGACAAAGCACAGTGAATTCTCGCTGCCATCCACTCAAATCGTATACTCCTTACGAATCAGAGACGGGTTTCTCGTCCAATATGCTTATCTGGAGGCATTAGTTTTTAACTACACACTTTTCAAAGAGAAAAAAAGCAGTCATCATAATTTAACTCACCGGATGTTTACGCCTCAGGATTATTGGTACGATCATTCCGTGTCTTTGTCTTTCAGATGGCTCAGGATATACGCGTACCTTGACCTTCTCAGGATATACGCGAACCTTGACCCTCTCAGGATATACGCGTAGCTTGACCCTATCATTCCCGTAGTCATCGTTTTCATCTGTCATTAGTGCGATTATATTTCTCGAAAAAAGTGCGCTAATGAAGTGGAAAACGTCTGTAGAAACGTTGAGAGAAGCCGGGCTCTATACTAAATTAAGAAACCTGAATCATCGCCAATCGTCTTGGTGGCTCTCTATCCATGTGGAATCCAGGACGTCTATGATGGCCACCATGATGACGTTGACGGATAATGATGGACGACGCCTTACCAGTATGATATAGCATTGGCCACAGTAACAGTAGAAGAGGTATTAGAAAGCGCATTCTGAAATCGTTCTACATTTCTAGAATTCACCAAGAAAGTATGGAAAAGATGAAGGACTTGATCTCGAGGCAGTTCACCGGCAGGGGGGAGAGATTTTTTACTTTCGTCGCTTCCCATAGACGTATCGAACCATCTAGAAAGATGTTCCATCAGCTTACAAGAGCTGGCACGTTTTACCGCAGTGCTCGACAAGTTTGCTCTAGCTTCACAAGAGTTCACATGTTTCATCAGGATGAGACTTGTAGAAAACTAGTAAAGCAGCGAGAGTGCAAAATGCCCCTCGTCGCTAAACTGCGCTTTCGATCTCTACTGTAGGCAGGCTGAGAGCGTGCATTTGTAAAGGCTTTTGGCTGCAGCTGACATTCATCGGAGTGACTTGCCTCAGAAGCTCGCTTCTCTCAACCAGGTCTTCTTTGATGCCTTGAAATCTCACAAACAGTAAGGCCGTCCGCTGATAGTCAGGCTATTCGTTCAAGGTTGAGAGATGTGAGTGGCTTGCCAAGACTGAGACCCGATCAAGACCGAGACAGGACAAAGACCGGTAGAAAAAACTCCCTTGCGGAGCAGCAACCCCTGCATGGCCACGCCCCGGTACTGCTCGAAGTACCAGCACCCTTGCGTGGGGCATACTTCCAGCTTAGCTGGAAAGGAATAAATTTTTTTTTCTTCAGAGACACTTGACCGTTGTCAGCTCTGATGTTTTCAGTCCTTGAAACAACGGCTTGAAAAATGAATCGCTGATGAGGCAGCGTCCAGACTTCGCGACGGCAGCGCTTTGGTCGCGCCTTCGACTCGATCGATACGCATGCTTTCTGCTGCATCAATCGCGTCGAACGCGTGACCGAAACGCTGTCGTCGCGAAGTCTGAACGCTGACCAAGCATTCTGTTGCTTGCACTGCTATAAGATATAGGACGACTTCGAACCCTTGTCGGAGAAAATCTTAGTCTGTCCACTTTGTTGCGAGCTCATTAGTTGTTCTGCTTTTACCGGATATCTTCTTCAAAAACGAGAAATCATTAGCGTTCTTAGTCACAGGGCTATATACGCGTGGGCACTGCTTGAATTTACCAGCGATGACTTCCCTGGTGTAGAAGCTCGTGGTGCATTGCTTACCGTAATCCTAATTTCGTTCTCAGAGTTTTCGGAAGTTTTTTTTGCAACGATTTTTTTTGTGTTTTTGCAGTGCATTTACTAAATATCTGCATGGCATTTAGTAGGGAGATGCGAAGAAATGATTTTTGGAGCCTGGAGTTGCACAGAGGCGCGCAGTTAGGTCATTTGCCTGCAAGTCGAGAATTCGTCCCAAAGAGCTGATGTGATGGCTTCATAGGGTGGTTCTTCAAGTTTTGTTGCTATTGTTTCGAAAAGTCACTATCTCGGGTTTCTGGGTCCATGAGTGAACGCCCGCTACCCGTAGTAACTGTTTGCAAGCTTTGTCTCTGAGGAGCGCCTTACATCCTGTGAGGACGCTAATGCACTGTTCAGCCCAGACCTGGCGTTGCTTTCCCTCAGAGATCAGTGCTTCGCCTTTGAAGATTGGGGCCGAGGTGGTGGAAAGGAAATCTGTACTCTTCACTAACCCTGGAGCAGCTACCTGCAACTGAAAATAAGCCCTTCAAGGGCCGGCGAGCGATCTGAATCGAAGCCGACTGCACACCTCGCAGCGCTTGAGACCGCTGTTGACATAGATGAAGAAATCAGAAGGAATTGCGCCGTACCTGGATAGCACCTTGTGAAGGAAAATTCGCAAAGTTATAAAAGTTTTGACCTTTGTCTAATCGGAAGGTACTCTTATAAGGGCCTATCAAGGCGCTATAACATACCACCCGACGCACCACCAAGCAGCCGCCCGCCAAAAATGGGCGACCGTACCATGATACTCGTATTGCTTCATTTGCGAAGTGTGACAGTAATGACGCGAACGGATTGATATAAAGCGGCCCTGAGGGGCTGCATGGATATACAGGGGAGGGGCAAAAAAGTCATTTTTCCTTCATTTGACTTTCGAGGCGCTATAATTACACTTATTGAAGCTCATCGGACACTTTTTACCACCATACTAAAATGCATATCAAATACTATCACACACTCCGCCAGCAGCCTTCTGGATCGACGCCATCGAGAGGATTCTGGCACCCGATCGCGATGTTGGCCGCTGAGATCAGCGAGATAGTCGATTTCTCCGCCACCGTAGACACGCCTAATTAATTAGCGCCGCGAACCTGTAACGAAGGGTTCAGGTCAGGTGACCGTACTATGAATATTTCCACTCTCTTCCAGGTATCCTCACCCTTCCATTCAAAGTAGGGCGAATGTTCTCCAACGCCATTCGATTTCATATCGTGGCTCAATGCTGTGAGGCAGTACAGACAGTTTACCAAGAAGGTGCGGGCGACGCACATATGAGGGAAGATTTTCTACAGATTTGGCGCGATCGTAACAAGCCAGTCACCTCAGCGGGGGTCCACTGACAAGTAAAATATTGTCTCAAGTCCCGCCATTCTGCGGTAGGTCCCGCTACCATATCATTCACTGGCGGCCTAGGCGACCTGCGGTGAATGACAATGTCCTAGACCGCGTCGCCTCCTCAAGTCAAAGTTGGCGCTGCGAGATACCTCATATTTTGGTGTACATCAAGGTGATGGGCGAGAGCCAGCTCCTGCTTATAAGAGGAAAATCTTGTTATCATTCCGCGCTCGTACTCGTATCCGACATCCTCTGTCTGGACAGTGAAAACTTTTGCTGATATCGTTGATCTCGGCCTGAAGTGACTTTTTTGCCCCCCCCCCTGTAATATGAGTTTTATACGTACAGGCATGTACCTACCGTAGCGGGTACCAGCGATGCGGTACGGGAAACTCGGTACCGAGATGGTGTTTTTCTGGCAGTCATCAAAGCGAAGGATTCTTTTTCACAGTTGACTGAACGCTTCAACTACCGTTTTCGTCCCCATTATATACGCGTCCCGACATCCATTTTAGGCACGAGTGCAAATATCGTGACCAACTGGCCTTTGAAGACACATGGTACATCACTTCATATTTTGGGGTGTAGGCGTAACTATCAGCCCTCCCCCCAACTGTCGACCGTAGCGGGTTTCTAATTGCCAGGTGAATGTAGATACAGATCGTGAAACACTACGTGCACTCCATCCATGCTCCGCCCAATGCATTTGCGACGCAGGGCCACCGTTTATGCCAAAGGCAGTGTTCTTATGGCACTTGTCAAGTCCTGTAATGCGCTTGGTAATAACAGTAAACTACTTAAGTAATTTCCTGGATGCTACAACATTCGAGGTGTCTGCAAAATAAGAAACCGAAAGATGATGACGAGAAGCGAGTACTCAAAGAGCAACTGTGGCTGCTTCTGCTAACACATATCCTTTTCCCAGCAAAACATGAAAATAAAAGCGCTAAGCTCCTGGCACTCAGACGGTCAGTATTCAAGGGCAGTTTTATACTTTGAATTTGGAAGGTTGGCGAAAGAAGAGTGTCGCTTTACCAGTTGCAAATTCCAGAATAACTTTTCCGGCTGGCTGATGTATGCGAAAGATAATCGACCGTGACGTTGCTTAATTTTCTTGCCCCTAGATGAGGCTGGCTTTTATAATTTACATAGAGAGTTAGAAAAGCATGCGACATCACTAAGTTGGGGACCTGTAGTCGACTCCTGACGTGTCCTATCCCGTTGGGTTCCTTCTCATGGAGTTTCTGAGCTCGAGTCGGGGAGGGGGGGGATATATAGTACACATGAAGCAGGTAAAACCACAAAAAGCAGCAACCTCTCTCAGTGGGGGGGGGGATTAGAAGGGGGATACGACCGTCTCCCAAATACGACCGGCCCTTGTCAAGGAGTCCCACAACAGCGATGTGTCCTGAATGGAAATTTATAGCATTGGGACTCGTGAGGCGTTGTAAGTTCCTAAGTGCGCATCGTGCGCATTCTCGCCTAATGTCCAAATCTCCTCTACATTCTAATTCGCTGCGGGCGAAGGGGTGTGTCAGGCTGGATGAGTTTGGCGCGGTGCCAGACCCGTTTTTCGCTATTCATTGGAGCAAGCAAGTGACAAGCCTGCATCACATCGTACGTAACAATCATTTTCGAAAAAAAATTGTTGCCGCACACCTACTTTCACGACTGGGAGAGAATGGGTTTCACGCCTTGAAACACTCATACTGCCTGGCACGCACCTTCGTCCTCAGCGAACTAGTATGGAATCCCTGCTGATAGTGGATTCATTTTCATAGATGATCGAAACACTGCTCAGGAGAGACCTCAAGCATAAGGATGTGATGGAGCCATGAATTACATACTACTGCTCTTCGTATACCCCATGAGTGAATCTGAGATACGCTTATAACTGAACTAGAGCGAACCATTCCACTTAAGATACGTTTACTCCACTGAGAAAGAATGCGTTCAGTGTTGATAGGGCGGTTGCCAAAGCAACGCAAACAACTTCGAAACTATGCAAGCATGTAGGAAGAGGTGTCACTGAAGAAGAGTAGATTGACAATTTTTTGGCAATTTTGGTACCAGCTATTAGTAAACATTTGAAACGATGTGTTATATCGTTGTGAACTAGGCAAAGGAGTGGGTTCACTTCAGGGACTCAATTGTGATCAAAGTAATTTGTTCCAGTAATAATCATGCGCCTAAGTAGTCTGAAAGCTACCTTTTAGTTTCATCACTTCGTTCTGGAACAGCATTCGAAAGAAACCGTACTGTCCTGGCAGAACACCATTTCAATGTCAACTTGTACGTGCCCAATGAGCTCCACCTCTGACACTACGCCCCCATCCGCACAGCTGATTACTTGACAAGAACTCCACGACCGTACAAGTTACGACTTTCATGCTGGCGTCACTGGATCTATATTGCGCTATAGCGCCCCTCCCTTACAATTTTTCGCAGCGAAATCGGTACAAGGTTGTTCGGTGCGAAACACACTACCTTCTCGAAGCTACATTTTTATTTGACAAATGGTCGCAAAACACGCCTTCAACTTACAACAGCCCATTTAATGTTTTTGAAGGCAGCAATCGTGATGTCTCGCGGCCAATAAAGGTGATTTGAAACCTCGTGTGGAGCTCATTCAAGAAATTTTACAAACAGTTAGAGCAGGAAGTGTAATCAATCTCGTCAGAGCAAGCAATTAGAACCGCGAAGTGTGGGTGGGAATTCTACAAAATGGTCCTGTATATTAATACAGGACCATTTACAGGACCCCGAAATTCGTTTCAATAACTTTTTTGTTGGAAGGAAAACAGTATTTTACTAGAAGATCGGAGACGACTTTTAGAAGACCTCACCTTAAACGCTTAATTACTCTTGCTGAACGAAGTTGTTAGGTAGACTTTGTTATTGGAGGGACGTTTCAACATACAAAAATGTTCGGAGCTCTACTATGTTGCCTACCCTAGCTTTTAAATTATTAGAACCTCTTTTGGCTTTGGCTGAAGTGTTAGGCATTTAACATCATGTCGAGGTTACAATAAGAGACGACACGGAAATTATTTGAAGATACCACCCAAAGACATGGAACGTGTAGGAAAAACATGCCCAGGCAATCGTGGCCTCACATATCTTCATTTCATGGTCCCTCTAGGGTTCGCGGTCTCAATAATATCCAGGATATTTCGCCATCTACATACGGTGCGATGCGATATCTGCATTAATGCATGATGCACAGCATTCTTTGGATACGATAACGGTTTGGTATCCTAAGGAAGTTACGGCATTGTGATTTTGATAGCCACTGCAATTTCATCTTGACGACTGAGAACCCCGCTAGAAGGCTTTTCCTGCATATATAGATAGATGCAGGTAATAACTTTATAACTTTGCGAAGTTTCTCCTCACAAGGTCCCTCCAGGTGCGGCGCAATTCCTCTGCATTTTTTTCATCTATGTCAAAGGGTCTCAAGACTGCAGGGTGCAGTCTGCTTCGATTCAGATCGTCGCCCCCATTGAACGCTTATTTTCAATTGCAGTGCGCTCCAGGATTAGTAAAGAGTAGAACTTCCCCCCCCCAATCGTACTAAAGCAAAGCACTAATCCCAGAGGAAGCAACGCCCAGCCTGGTCTGAGGCAGTACGTAAGCGTCCCCACAGGACGTAAGCGTCCTCAGAGACAAGCCAGCAATCAGTCACTACGGGCAGTGGGCCAAAACCCGGTAAGTGACTTTCCACCAAAGAAAAACAGAACAAAACTTGAAGAACCACCTTGAATGAAGCCAATTTTGGCAGTCACACAGCCTCCTTGGACGAGTTTCTTCGGACTTGCAGGCAAATCTAGACCTCGCGGGCTTCTGCGCAACCCCCCGGCTCAAATCTTTTCTTCGCATCTCCCTACTAAATGCCGTGCGATACTAGAAAAATAAAAACACAAAAAAATTCATAGCAAAAAAAATTTCCGAAAACTGAGTACAAAATCAGGATTTACGGTAAGCAATGCACTACGAGCTTTTACACCAGGGAAGTTTATCGCTGGTAAATTCGAGCAGCGCCCACACTTATATCGCCCTGTGACTAGGACTGCTAATGATTTCCCGTCACTCATTTCGGGGTGCGTCTATTCCATTTGCTCTGCTGACCCGATGCTAACCTTATCCCACTTTTTCCCGTCTCCGAGGTGCTTTGCAGCCGAACTATGGCTTTTTTCAGCGCCACCCATCTCAAGTACACCCCGCCGACTTCGGGTGTGTCTCCTCTATTGAGTCGGTCAGCCTTTTGTTAACTTGTTAATGCGCTGTTCCCTGATCTTGATACGCTCCGGAACCGAGTTATGACTGCTTTCAGTGACATCGCCCTAAATTTCGATGCCATGTTAAGCCCCGCCACCTTGGGCGGGGCTTACCATGGCTCAAGGGCGCTACTCAGGGTATTGTTTCATGCCCTACCCATCCCCATCATGACTCGACTCCTCCAAGTTCTTCTTATGGTGCTATGGATTTCGTGACAAAGAGACAGACGCACACACACCACGCACGGACATGGGCGATCCTACTAATATAATCGTCTACGTCCGTGTGTGTGTTGTGTGTTGTGTGTGTGTGTGTGTGTGGTCTGTCTGTCTGTCACGAAATTCATAGCACCTGAAGAAGAGCTTGGAGAGATCGGGTCATGATGGGGATGGATAGAGCAATAGGACAAAACTTTGAATACCACCCGTGGTAAGCCCGCCCACAGTGGGCGGGGCGTGACTCAAAATTTAGCGATGTCAATGAAAACATCATAACTCGGTCCCAGGGCATGAAGAAACAGTGCAGTAAGATTAGCAAAGGACTGTCTGACCAAATGGAGGAGACACACCCGAAATGGGGGGGAGTACTTGAGATAGGCGGCGCTTCCCGCGACACTGAAAAATCGCCATAACTTTGGCTACGAAGCAGCTCGGAGAATGGAAAAAGTGGAATTAGGTTAGCACTGGGTTGGCAAACCAAAGGGACAAGAGACACCCGGAATGGGCAGGGCGTACAAGAGATGGGCGGCGCTTTCCACAAAGGTCGGTATCACGGTCCCGAAAATGTTTAGGAAGCCGCCAGAAACTCCCTGTACGAAGAAGAATATCGTGCAAGAGTACACCATTTCGCGGCGTGCTGAGGCCCGCCTACGGTGGGCGGGCCGTGCATTTGAGCACGAGGAACAGTATAAAAAAAATCGTAGTTTAGTCCTAAATCTAAGTTTCGTCCTAAATTAAGTCCTAAAGTCACAGCAGGTGGTGCCAAAAAATGGATTGTGGTCCCCAAGTGATCAAATGTAAGAATGTGCGAGGCACTCCCGCTGTGGGCGGGGCCTGCACCGACGTGGGCGGAGCCAGCTTCGGAAAGAATTTGCAAAACGGTCCAAAAGCATTTCAGACACCGGGAAAAAGTAGATTAAAACCAGCGAGGGGTTATTAGATTAGAAGCGCGAGGCATACGTTGCGGACGGGACGTGCGTCAAGGTGATCGGGGTAAGCCTTGAAAATCGCGCCTACCTGCTTTCGTATGATCAAATGCTCAACTAATAACCGGCTTTTCTCTCATCTGTCCACTTGATCAACGCTCCTTACCACCACTCCATACACCGTAATAGTGTTGAAAGTAGCAGTATGATGCTATTGGCCACAGAATGTTGACCACCTGTCCAGTTAAAGAAAAGCCTGATACTAGGCGGCTAATGAAATGTATAGAAGAAGATAAGCGCCGCGGAGCCGCGCCCGCTCGAAGAAGGCGCGCTGTATCTCACTTCAGAAGGAGGCGCGCCGGTGTCAGCCGGCGAAGCCGGCTGGTTATATATAGTAGGATACACAATGTTTTGAAGATAGAGGATGAAATCGGTACCGATTCCGTGGCGCTTACGTTTTGTTCGCTGCGAACGAAGGGTTTTAGTAAGGTGGGAATGGCGCCAGGCCTTCCTCGAGATATAAGAGAGGCGAAGACTCGTTGGGATTTGGCTTGAGGGGAGCGAGTGCGCATACAAACGAGAAAAATGATAGTGGTGAAATTTCTGTTTTCTCGGTTTACTTGTGCCGCCTTGCGTCGTATCTCTTTTATCACATAAAACTGGTACAAAGTCGTTTATAGCTTTCCAGTCCTTTCCAGAGCTTGGATTCTTAGAAGTTGTTGCGGAACGTGCTCTTGTTGGTCAACGATCCTTTTCTCTGGGAATATTGCATAATTTTCATGGGCAGCAAAACTTAGCCCAGTGTTTTATGCTTGTCATAAAGACGTGTTCTCATGATTGCAAGCCTTCTATAGGTATTTTGGTTATTATGCATCATTTCGCAGATAAGCTGGCGTCAGCATTTATAAGTGAAATTACGTATAAAGCTGCTGAACGAAGGAGTCCACCAGCAGTTCTCTTGATCTCTTTCTTGAGCGATTCCATTCTCCCGATCTCTGCTTTCTTATGCTGGAATAACGCCGGTTTAAAGCAAGGCACGATAGTTTCCCAAGACGTGTAGGATCGATACGCCTAGCTGGACCGAATTCGGCTCCATTGAGCAGGTGCTGCATGGCCTTTTCCAAGGAAGATGCTGAGCGACCTATCAAACAGCAGTATAGGAACCGGAACTCCCACCCCCGCCCACCCACATATGTCCGACCAAGGCTTATGCTCGTCTTGCTTCACTTTCGAAGTACAATATGAAGCGAAGGGATCGATATGAACCAGCTGCAGTGCCGCCTGGATAGACTGGTACATGAATGCAGCCCCGTCTACCACAGTAGTCTTGGCGCGTTGCCAACGGGGAACTCGTACAAAACTTTTTGAGCCGATTTAACGGTTTCATTCTGGTGAAACTTGTGAACACTTGAGAAGCTGGAGCAAACTCGTCGAGTCACCATGGTGAAACCTGCTAACCCTTGTAAGCTTATGGAATAGCTCTCTTGATGGCTCGACACGTCTATGGAAAGCAGCGAAAATGGAAAATACCCCTAAATCACCAAATTGCCTCGGGATTGAGTCCATCCACTTCTCCATTCTTTCACCTTTCTGTGAATCCCGATTTCAGAATGCGCTCTCTAATACCTCTTCTACTCTTATTGTGGCCAGTGCTTTATCATGCTGGTATGGTGTCGGCTAAATATGTCCTTCGAAGAAATCCTGGATTCTCCATGGATGGAGAATCGCCAAAACGATTTGACGATGATACAGGTTTCTTATTGTAATTTGGAGCCCAACTTCTCTGAAAGTTTCTACACACGTTTTGCATTTCAGTAGCGCACTTTTTTCTGAAAAACTAATCGCACTCATAACAGATATGAAGGATGACTCGTGGAGTAAAAGGGTCAATCTACGTTACTTCCATGAAAAACAAGAAAAAAGACTGAAGATACCAGCGATCCAAAGGGTTACCTATAAGGTGAGTCGAACAATGAAGGCAGCTTTCCTCGCTTTGAAAAATGTGTAGCTGATAATTTTTGTCTCCAGATAAGACCACTGGACGAGATACCCCTGTACGATGCCTAAAAGTACACTATTTCAGTGGAGACAAAGCAAAAAGCATAAAAGAGATGAGTCAAATAAAGCATTTTGCAAACCTGTCGCAGAAGCAGAGACAAAGCACTCAAAAATTGGTTTTATGATGATAACTGGCTGTTACGAAAGCCAGAGCCGATTTTTACCCTCTCAGTACCTTGAGCACTCAGAGCTGTTGTGGTATTCAGATTAATATTCGGTCAGTACAACACTTTCGTAGCTAGCTGACGAACATTTGTGGGGCAATCAGCTGCTATGCCAAGTGTGGCACAAACGTACGAAGAAAAATTACCCTTGAAGCTCAGTATATACGCCCCGCTGGTCACACACGATCCGTGGGCGCTGGTCCTTGCCATGTGCGAGAACGGGGTCGGAGCTGCAGTGACGTGCCATGCACTCCGCTCAAATGGTGAATACGCCTGAAGAATAGTGTACCCGAGTGTGGTCTCTTCACTCCACTCTCGCTGCTGCACGCGCACAGCCACATACGTAACCATAGCCAAACGCGCTACTTTTCTGCGTCTCTCATTTCTGGTTAGTTTCTTCCTCTGACTGCGTATTCGTTGCGGTTATCGGCGGAAGGTGCTGGACCTTTAGGATAGCTCGTGTACAGCCAGAAATGGCACCTGGGCCTCACTATCTTCAGCCGCACCCCGATGCGTTCTGGGCTGGAAAAGGGCACGTTACTGCAGGTGTGGACTCACCTTGATTATGGGAAAGACATCCTCGGAGGTATATGTTCAGCCTGTCATTTAACCTGCGTAAGACTTGGTGAGTTTTTTCTTACTGCACCGTGAGACGATGAGTGCCAACCATTTGCTGTCTGCACCACCTCCGCTATACCCTAGGTACACTGTAAATTTCATCGTGACAAATACTGGTTCAAGCCGCATGACCTTGGCTGTGGCACACATAAATGCCACTGAGCTGAGAAAATGGAAGTCTTCTCAGTGCTGAGTCGTCCAGTAGAAGCTTGAATGTGCAGATTTGGATCTCGCGGTGAATCAAGTATTTCGTCAGTAGCCCAAAATTAGCACTTCTTGGATAGCTCCAGTTTAGCTGGAAAAGAATGAAGCATTCAGAGACACTTGACCGTTTTCAGCTCTGATGTTTTCAGTTCTTGAACCAACGGCTTGAAAAATGAATTACTGATGAGGCAGCGTCCAGAATTTGCAACGGCAGCGTTGAGGTCGCGCGTTGGACACGATCGATAGCACGCATTTCTGCTGGCATCAATCGCGTCGAACGCGTGTCCGAAACGCTGTCGTCGCGAAGTCTGAACGCTGCCCAAGCATTCTGTTGCTTACACGGCTATCTGGATATGGGATGACTTCGAACAATCGTCGGAGAAAATTTTAGTCTGTACACTTTGTTGCGAGGTCATTAGTTGTTCTGCTTTTACCGGATATCTTCTTCAAAAACGAGAAATCATTAGCAGTCCTAGTCACAGGGCGAAATACGTGTGGGCGCTGCTTGGATTTACCAGCGATGAACTTCCCTGGTGTAAAAGCTCGTAGTGCATTGCTTACCGTGATCCTAATTTCGTATCCTTTTTCTGCTACGAGTTTTTTTGTGTTTTTGCATTTTTTTAGTATCGCATGGCATTTAGTAGGAAGAAAAGATTTTCGAGCCGGGGTTGCACAGAGGCCGCGAGGTCTGATTTTCCTGCAAGTCTGAGGAACTCATCCAAAGAGGCTGTGTGAATGCAAATTGGCTTCATAGGGTGGTTCTTTAAGTTTTGTTCTGTTTTTGCGAAAGTCACTTATCGGGTTGTAGCCTCGACATGATGTTAAATGCCTAATCACTTCTGCCAAAAAAGGTTCTAATAATTTAAAAGCGAGGGTAGGCAACAAATTAGAGCTCCGACCATTTTCGTATGTTGAAACGTCACTCCAATAACAAGGTCTATCTAACAACTTCGTTCAGCAGGAGTAATTAATCGTTTAAGGTGAGGCTTTCCTAGAAGTCGTCTCCGATCTTCTAGTAAATACTGTTTTCCAACAAAAAAGATATTGAAGCGAATTTGGGGGCGATTAATATACAGGAGCATTATGTAGGGTTCCCACCCACACTTCGCGGTTCTTACTCTGACGAGATTGATTACACTTTCCGGCCCTAATCGTTTGTAAAATTTCTTGAGCTCCACACGAGGTTTCAAATCACCTTTATTGGCCGCGGGACATCACGATTGCTGCGTTCAATAACATTAAATATATCCAAAAAGGCCGTAAATTAGAGGCACTTGGCACGATAAATCCCTAAGACGAGTAGGATTAATACGCATGGCAGGACGGGATTCCGCATCCCTGAGCAGGCGCTGCGTAGCGCCTCTTTCAAGCAAGGTACTCTTATAAAGTCCCTATCAAGCTACAACACACCACCCGAACGCCCACCACGCCCGCCCCCCCCCCCACAAATGGTGGACGACCGTACCTGATACTCGTATTGCTTCATTTGCGAAGTAAATTATGAAGCGAATGGATTGATGTGAAGCGCCTGAGGCGCTGCATGCATATATATGAGTTTAAGCGTGCAGCTGTACCTATCATAGCGAGTACTGGCGATGCCTACGGGAAATTCGTCCGAAATTGCTTTTTTAATCGTCAAAAACGAAGGCTTCTCTTCGCAGTTTCCGAACGCTTCACTCCGTTTTTCGGTGTTTACCCACTATATAGCGCTCCGATAGCATTTTAGGCCGAGTGCCAAATTATCGTGCCAACTGCCTTTGAAGACACATGGTACAATCACTCATAGTTAGGGTCTGCGTAACAATCAGCCCCACCACCCCCCCCCCCCTAAACTGTCGAACCGTAGCGGTTTCCCCGTTCTAATATGCGCAGGAATGTAGATACAGGATCGTGTAACACGCTAATTGCTCCATGCCCCGGCCAATGCCTTTAGCGACGCAGGCTCCTTAAGTAATTTCCTGATGCTAACAACATTAGAGATGCTGCAAAATAAGGACCAAAGATGATGACGAGGGCCAGAACTCAAGAGCAACTACGCTGCTTCTGCGATATCCCTCCCCCAATACATGAAAATAAAAACGGCCTAAGCTCCTGGCACTCGCTAGTTCAAAGGCAGTTTATACTTTGAATTGGAAGGTTGGCGAGAGAAGTGTCGCTTTAAGAGTGCAATTCAGCTTCTCCGATGGATGATGAATGCAGAAAGCCGTTAGTTTCTGGACCTTGCTTAGCTTTTTTCCCTAGGTGAGGCTGGCTTTATAATTTTCATAGAGAGGTGAAAACAGTGCACATCTCTAGTTGGGGACTGTAGTCGACTCTGACGCCTATGCCCTTGGTTCCTTCTCATGGAGTTTTCGAGCCGAGCGGGGAGGGGGGGGGGGGGAGTATACTACATGGTGTGCAAAACTTAAGGGACGAAATGGATAAATAAAGTAAGCATAAAACACTAATGATTGGGTGGAAAGTAAAATGAAAGTGTGGGAGCTGCCATGCAGCCACTTGCCTTAGGGATATGCACAGGAAGCTAGACTTTTCTCGGTGGAAAAAGAGCTTGAATAAAGTGCCAAAATATGGCCGACCGCGCAAATCGATGCAGTCTATAGTTATGAAAAATTCTTTTTCTCAATCAGCGAGTAGCTGCAAAGAACTGTGGTAGTATCCTTTCGATACATCATGCCCGCGAAGAGAGCATCTGAAGAGAGAATCATGACGAGTGTGGCCCAGGAGTTCGGTATCGCTCACAGCGTTGTTTCACGCGCATGGAGAGCGTTCCGAACTTTTCGTACTGCCTATTTGAAGAACGAGGAGGTGGCCGACCAAGGACAACTACACAAGACGACCGCTACATTGTGCAGCAGGCAAGAAGGGATCCTCGTCAGTCGGCTTCGGCTATTACAACGACGTTACCAGGACTCTAGGGCAAGCAATCTCACGCAAGTGGGGAGACGACTGCATGGTGATGGTCTCTTCGTCACGACCGCTTACGTTGTGTTCCTTTGACCCGCTCATCGGCGAGACCGGTTTACGGTGGTGCCGGAGCATGGCGAATGGACCGGTGAGGAATAGAGCCGTGTGCTCTTTTCGGATGAGAGCAGGTTCAGTCTGAGCAGTGATTCATTCTACATATGGCGAGAGGTGGGAACATGCAACACCCCCGAAACATTGTCGAACGTGATCGTACTGGTGGTCGAGGTGTTATGGTATGGGGCGGCATCATGTTGCATGGCCGGCACTGACCTGCAGATTTTTGAGCATGGAACCATCACCAGTCCGCGTTCTGCGGTTCTCCTACATCATGTCCGTCTTTTTAGAGCTGCAATCGATCTGACTTCATTTTCATGGATGGCAATGCGGGCGACCGCATCGAACAGCACAGGTGGAGGAGCTTTCTAAGAACGAGAGGATATCGCGGCGAATGGAGTGGCCCGCCCGTTCCCCGACCTAAATCCATCGAGCACGTGTGGGATGCACTGGGTAGACGCATTGGCAGCACGACCAAATGCACCAATTTGTCAAATGCACTGATTGAGGAGTGGAATGGCCTGCCCCGGAAACTCATTACCAATCCCGTAGAGAGTATAGGATCGCGGTGCAGAACATGTATTGCTTTCCGTGTGATCACACAACCTATTAGGAATCGTGCAACTTCTTTTGTAGTACCAGGATAAATCGTGAAGACTTATGTGTAATGACATGGTTGAATAAAAATGTCATAACAATTCGTCTTATTCGCGAGTTTTTGTCAGTTGCTTTCTGCACAATATCGTTAAGGTTCTCTCTTGCTATGATATGAATTTCTTCGAGCTATGTTGCCTGGCAGAGGCACAGTGATCGAATGTTGCTTTCGTCCTAAGTTTTGCACACCAGTGTAGTACACATGAAGCAGGCAAACCACAAAAGCAGCAACCTCTCTCAGGAGGGAAGTTAGAAGGGGGAGACGCCCGTCTTCTAAATACGAGCCGCCTTGTCAAGGAATCTCCAACAGCGATGTGTCCTTGGGAATTTTGTAGCACTGGGACTGTGATG